CCAAGCTGAATGGTCGTCATCATGATGTTATATGTCTGTGTGATAGGACTTTACCAAGCTGAATGGTCGTCATCATGATGTTATATGTCTGTGTGATAGGACTTTACCAAGCTGAATGGTCGTCATCATGATGTTATATGTCTGTGTGATAGGACTTTACCAAGCTGAATGGTCGTCATCATGATGTTATATGTCTGTGTGATAGGACTTTACCAAGCTGAATGGTCGTCATCATGATGTTATATGTCTGTGTGATAGGACTTTACCAAGCTGAATGGTCGTCACCATGTTGTTATATTTCTGTGTGATAGGACTTTACCCAGCCAAGTGAAATGTTCAGAAAGGTTAATTCGTCCGCACATTCTCGCCTTCTCATCTTAGGAGATTTTAACTTCAAGGAAATCAACTGGAAGGAAAATACTACTGATGCTAATGAACAACATGTAGCTACACATTTCTTAGAACTAACCCATTATTATTGTTATATCATCATGTGTTACATCCAACAAAACTCAGGGAGGGACATCCAACAAAACTCAGGGAGAGAATCATTCCATCAGTTCTAGATATCATACTTACAAATGAAGAGAATATGATTGATAACCTGGAATATAAAAATAGTATTGGGCCTAGTGACCATCTATCTTTAGTTTTTAAATTTGTATGTTACACTGACGACAAAGTTAGTGAAAAAACCAAGACTCAACTATTTTAAAACTGACTACACAGCAATTAGGGAGGAGCTATCAAAAACAGAGAGTGGGGTTTCATGAACATTTTGGATCTAATCGAATTCTGGGAATTCTTTACTGAAATAATATCTAAAGTTGTTAAACAAAATATACCAGTGAGTAAAGGACGAACGGGAAAAGGAAACGACCACCATGTTCTCGACAGGAATACTCTTGAAGCAGTTAGATCAAAAGGAGAAAATGGAAAAATGTGTATACTGTAAAACTGCTTCAAACTTCAAATCCTACGGAAAAGCATGGAATTAAGCAACAAGGACAATTGGTAACAACACCTATAACCATGAGGAATTACTAGCTGAAAAAATAAAAATTGAACCAAAACTCTTTTGGAAATATGTCCGCACCAAAGCAAAGACAAAACAGAAGATAACTCAACTGGTCAAAGGGAATGGAGAACTCACAGAAAGACCAAGAAAAGGCTGAGGTTCTCAATTACCACTTAGCTAGTGTTTTCGTAGAGGAGGGACAATAACCACTTCCTCAATTTCAAGATCACTCCCCAAATATGGAAATAAGTAGGATTGAGGTATCGGAGGAACAAATTGTCAAAGCTATTGGCAGATTGAAAGCAAACAAAGCTGCTGGTCCTGACAACATACATCCCAAATTCCTAAAAGAGACTGCAGACCAAATCAAGGGTCCTCTAAAATATATTTTTGAAAAATCTATGGCAAAACATTGCTTTTGAAATCCTGGAAACAAGCAAATGTCACACCAATTTTTAAAAAGGGGAACAAGAAAGATGCAGGAAACTATAGACACATAGGCATAACATCAACTGTGGGTAATCTACTCCAGCGAATTATTAGAGACGAAATAGTGGAACACATGGACAACAACAACAACCTTTTCTCCATGGAGCAGCACGGTTTCAGAAGTGGTAAGTTTTGCAACACACAACTATTAGAATCTATTGATGACTGGACAGAAGCTATTGACCAAAACAAGCAAATGAATGTCATTTATTTGGACTACAAAAAAGCCTTTGACAAAGTACCCCATAGGAGATTATTAATAAAGTAAAAGGATATAGCATCAACGGGGACATATTTGGGTGGATTTCAGACTTCTTTAATGCTATGAAGCAAAACGTGGTTATCAACGGATGTGAATCAAGCACATGTCAAGTCAAAATTGGAGTCCCCCAGGGTAGTGTGCTGGGGCCAGTCTTATTTCTCCTCTACGTAAACGACCTACCCGAGGTAATTTATAACCTGACCAAAATGTTTGCAGATGATACAAAGATATATCGTGCAATGGATCCAGGAGAACAGGGGCAACATCTTCTGATAAGTGTAAGCATCTAGAATTGCATCAATGAGCTGTTAAATGTGGTACTTCATACAACATTATCAAACAGGGGAAGTACACAAACTACAAACTGTTAACAGTGAAAGGGTTCTAGGTGTGACCATAGACATTAATCTTAAGTTTAGTGAACGTGTAAACCTGTCGGTAGCCAAAGCCAACAGAAATGTAGGAATGATGTTTAGGACATTTAGCTGTGTAAATAGGGCTATATTCATAACCCTATTAAGTCTCTTGTAAGACCATATCTAGAGACCTCTGTTGTAGTCTGGGTACCCATGCTTGTAAAGGATAGCATATCCATTGAAAATGTCCAAAGGAGAGCCACTAAACCGGTCCCTGGTATCAAAGACCTATCCTATCCTGAAAGACTTGAGGCTCTTGGGCTACTCACAATGGAGTACAGGAGACTTAGGTCAGACATGGTGCAAGCTTTCAAGTTATTAAATAGGATAGACAACATCAAATATGACTTTCTAAAAATCAATGTAACAAGAACAACTAGAGGACACAACCAGAAACTAGAAAAACTAAGATGTAAAAGTAATCTGCGTGGCCACTCGTTCAAGTTAAGACTTGTAAATAACTGGAATGGTCTCTCTGATCAAGTGGTAAATGCCCCATCCCTGTTTTCTTTTAAGACCAGGTTAAACAAACACTGGGAAAATCACCCCAATAAGTTTGAACCAAGCTTCTACTAATTAGCTAGGGAAGTACATATAAGCTTCCCTAATTCCAATTTAAATTTAGCATTTTTAACGCATGAAACCTTTTAATATCTATACTTTCAAGTATAGTTCATTGACAGGTCTGAAATCAATTAATCACAATGTGTGTATACTTAGTAAATAGTATAATAACCTCTTTTTCGGATACTTGTGATTTATGCAGGCCTGTTAGTCCTTTTTTATAACTGAATACCCCTTTTTAAAATGAAATTAGGATGCAACTTTTTTTACCACCTACTGCACATGTAAATAAATTTCACTAGTATTGAGTAATAAATGTCTTCTCTAAATGCCTCCAAATGCAACCGGAAGTGGAGTTTGCTTACAATGGTGTCAACTGCAATGAACCAATGAATCAATGGAGGTCCATTTTTTATCATGCTCATTTATGTGCCTTATTGTCCTGTTGTCACTGCCCTACTTCTCGCTATGATGACGTGACATTACTTGTATTTGTCATAGATTGCCATTTCGGATATCGTCGATGAACCAGAAGACTTTTACCCTTCTGGAATACATGGACTGATTGTTCTTTTACTTCTTTCAAAGGTCTCAAAGTAAATATTTCCGTTGTTACTAGTTGTCTAATATATAGATAGCGTTTTGTCAATAAATTCGGTGGATGTTCGTGATGTCATATCGGTTTGGACCTCAGCAGAATCAGATCTAGACCAAGATAAAGATTAAATACTGATTGTGTACAGTACCTTGATGACACTATGGAACCTTTAATTAAAACCAGTCCCCATAGGTTACACCAACCTATGATTGGCAGTACCTCTAATAACATTACAAAGCCTGTTTTTCAAAGAAAGGTTCCCATCAAAACACTACCAACATCTGTTCACACGAGTTTCGGAAGTGCTCCCATAAAGTCGTATAAATAGTTAAGTGTCTATATAACGTTCCATTTTATACCGCCACTGTCTGAGTGACTGAGAGGAGACACGTGCTCTATTATTACACGTGTTCCCTTCTCATTGTTACCTACGCTCTACACAACCATATAACATGCATTGTCGTGAACTTCATTTGGCCATTGTATGGAGGCCGATCCAGGTAACATTATGTAAATTAAATCAGTCCCGATTTGAAATGTTTACAGTAATCTATCTAAAGTGTACCAATCCTGGCAATTATCTAAAATGTTTATGTATACTTATCTTAATGGTCTACTGAAGCCCCGACCCACAGGATTGCCTTACCACTGCATGATTCATAAAAGGCGACTCATGTGTGAAATCCCAGTAGAAATGGGGATTTACTTTTTCTTCTACTTGTGGACAGAAAAGCTTTCGAAATAATCTTTTGCATCCATTGCAACAACTGAGATATTTTTGTTATGTGTTGTTTCCGGCTACTTCCGTGTCCTATCGCCCTGGCAAAACCTCGCTTTTGATCATGGTTTTCAGTGTTCGCTTGGGCAAACGTTCAACATTAAAGCAAAAAGTGAGGTGTTGCCAAGGCGCTAGGAAATTAAAGGTAGTTAGAAGTAGAAAGAAAGATAAAAATCCCAAATATTGTAATGGGTGCAGCAGATTTATTTTTGTTGCTATTGTGTCCTCACATAGAGGCACCAACGCAAATCCCCAATTCTGCAGGGGGGCTCCCACATTAGTCGCCTCCTTGATACATGCAGTGGGTATCAGCAGTTGTATTCTTTTCCCGATCCCACACCTGCAGGGGTGTCACTCGTTGTGTTATCTGTAACTGATGAAAAATGCGACCCAGTCATTTTTACAGATAAACATATGTTGTTATTAGCTAAACAAAAAGATAAAGTATTAGAGATTATCTCTACAACAAGCTGTTAAAGATGTCATCTTAACACCCGGAAGTGTCGACACATACACTTAATTGAAATATCATTGAGCTCGAAATTAATCAGATATTTTCAAGAAGACATTTTAATTTAATAGTACTTGTGGTGGTAAAAGAACATCATACATAACCGAACTCCGCAGAAAACCAGTTGATTGATTTCATTTTCTACCAACATAATATTCAATTCCCAAAATTGCCAAAAGTTTAACCGTATATTTGTGGAGTGGGACCTTATTAATAAAACATATACCGATGGCCATTCTCAAGGTAAATACTGCCATTTGTCCGCACGTCACGTGATTATTCCCTCGTCACCAGAATGTTGTAAAACTTTTATCTAGATATAAATAAGGCTGTGCAATAACATAGGTACACATTCTGCGCTGATATCTACGCCGGTAAGTATAAGGTCTCGGTTGATGAATGATAATTTAATGATTGCACAAAATATGTTTGAAAACACCATGGGTCAGTGAAGTTGGTATACATGTTTACTGTAGTAAGTCGGAGTAATATTCCTTATTTTCGTTGATGAAAATAATAATCGCTAGCATATAACAGGCCGTTTATAAAAACAAACAAACATAAACTTGTTTTTTTTTCAATATTGCTGACATTCTTTTGCTACTCGTAATTGAGAACACTCATATGCTTGTCAAGTAATGCCAATAAGTAAAAGAAGCATTTTTTCAGTACGAAACTAATCTCTTATGAATTTGCATCTATTTAGCAATGAATGTGCTTAAAAACTTAATTGTGTGATTTAATTAACTTTTGTTTAATAATGGAACTGATAACTGTGTCATCATTTATCACACATGTAAGTAGCCGAATATTGAAGATTGTGGGAGTCGTGTAGAGAAATTTCTATTCTAAAAAAAAAATGATAAATTATTCAGACCGTCTGCCTATACTGCAATCGATGGGCGCCGTCAGTTATGAGCCATGTCACCTAACGTTCCCCACATTTATCCGTTCAATTCGACCAATCTTATTTTTTGCATTATTAATTTCGACTGATGCTCCTTCCAATTGTTCCGTAGACAATGAAGATACTAGCAGGTACTGCGCTGCTCTGTGCCGTGGCTGTTCTCGCCCTGGCGGAGAAAGTACGGTTCGATGGGTATGTATGTAACTTGTCCTAATGAGTAATCTTTAGATACTGAATAAGCTTTAATTTCTTTACAAGTGGTTAACGAAGACACCAATAATGTATACGGATTTTCATTTTTTGACCTTCAGCTGGAGATGAGTCCTATATTCACGCAGTGGACATATGGTTTAGTAGAATATGTTTGTTTTGGCTTCCAGCTTACTGAGTATTTAAATATCTACTTTAATAATTGTTTTACTTCACTAGGTGGTTGACTCTGCTGACCATCAGTCACCCAGCTTAGTCGTAGCCTTTAATTGTAACCTGGAATTTATTATGGCATGGTGTTTGCAGCTTATTTTTAAAAATTGCAGAGTTATATATTGACTTGTAGACATCCTTCCCCTTTTGAAATATTTCAAACATTTTAAGTCATCTGATCTTTAGTATCGTTAATGAGTCTTACATGTGTGATCTTTAGTACCGTTCATGAGTCTTACATATGTGATCTTAAGTACCGTTAATGAGTCTTACATGTGTGATCTTTAGTACCGTTAATGAGTCTTACATGTCTGATCTTTAGTATCGTTAATGAGTCTTACATGTGTGATCTTTAGTACCGTTAATGAGTCTTACATGTGTGATCTTTGGTACCGTTAACGAGTCTTACATGTCTGATCTTTAGTACCGTTAATGAGTCTTACATGTCTGATCTTTAGTACCGTTAATGAGACTTGCATGATCAAAATATTCATATTTAGCATTGTTAACTTTGTTTGTCTCGACTCAGTAAGTTTTTAAAAAGGATGTTTACTAACTTCTTATTTCTAGTGGTTAATATAATATCTCTCATCAAAAATATAACATGTCGTACGTTCCAAAACTGCTTTCTAAATGATGATTTCCTTAATAGGAATAGATCTGCGGCAGCATCAAGGGTTCTTTTATCATTCTCTTTCAAATGTTGATTCCCGTTATCAAGGTACCCTCATCATTACTTTTTATATGTCTCTGATTGAGTTATATATCAGAAAACTCACGTAAGCAAGCCATGTTTCGTTGTGGTGTTGTAGACACAAGGTGCTGAAGGTTGTTCCAAGGACAGCGAGAAATGTCCACGACATTGCCAAAATGGAGAATGAATTCAAGGTGAGACGAATTAATTTTAAAAGTTTGTCCTAGGCTACCATCATGTCGTCTTACTTTACCGGTGTTGCACCTACCTAATCAGTTATACGTGAAACAGCTGATTCAATATGACGATGACTTTAAAGCTCTTAGAAAAGATGGCTATCTGTTAAGTCCTGCCGGCCAACCGTGAACCGTCTGAAGATATCACAAAACAAATGTCCGATTTTTCATCACCGAGTGTCTGGTTTTGATTTTTCCTGTGTTGAATTGACCTTTCATTGTTTTAACTTCACTTGAAAAATATTTCTGTCAATGTTTTTGTCTAGTTATGAAAATCGACTTGGAGAAAGTTTCCCGTGGCGGAAATCATATATTACATATAACAGGGATCGTCTTAGACAATTGCACTAATATATTTTAATTTTAGTCGATCATGTTGTACACAATGGGTTTCTCTGATAATACGGTTGTTGATGTCTTCTGAAAGTATCAGTTCTATTAAAATAATTATACAACGAATATATAAACAAACAAGTCTGAAATGATGAAGGCACAATACGTGAAAGGTCATTAATGTGTTCTTCAAATCATGAAGTCATTCACGTGATTATTTAGGATTTGTTCAAATCCATTTATAACTCGTTAACTTTTATCTAAGCTAGAAGTTGGATAAAGACTTATGTGAATCAATCCTTAAACTTGAATGTATTCAAAGAATGATACGCGAATGATGGTTGTATATTTCTGTTTAACAATCTGTCCTTTCTCTGTGTGCGGCGGTCAGCTTGACTTCTGGCACTTTCCCAAATACACCAACGACAGTTTCCACGTGAAGGTTGGGCCTCATACCCTCGAACCTTTCCTGTCCAAACTCCGACACATGGAAGCGGACTTCAGCGTTTGGATTGATGACGTACAAAGGTAAGGTACGAATGCGTGTGTGACTTACACATCAGTCCTGCTACCTGAGTAAGGAGTAGTGATCTACATGTGTACGCATATTATATAAACAATACTAAAAGTTTTAAATGAATTTTTAACGTGAACTTGAGCACGAGAAGCTTACATAGCCCATTCTGTGATTTTAACCATTCCATTCATGTTCCATGTCTTGCTTAGATAGACAATACTGTTTAAAATATCTTAACCTTAACCGTTGATCTCTCAGTGACCCCCAGTTTTGGTGAGTGTAGTCAGTTTAGTGGTGTTCTACTCGTTGTTTGGAAAGAAACTTATGTTTCAAAACTCTTTAAGCAACATATAAACAAATTTTCTTCAGCTTTTGCGAAGTGACTTTGTTGTTTTTCTTGGTTTACATGTGTCTTCATTGTCTTTTTCAACGTCAACGTATGTAATAGTTTCGGTTAGATTACAAAAACCTTAAACCATGTTGCAGGGACACAAAATGTCGGACGCGCAAACTCGTAGACGTCAAATTCACCGATAAACGGAAACGTCTAGCATTGAATATAACAAACCACATTGGAGCGTTACACTGTCGCCAAGGTGGACAGACTATTTCGAATACATCATCTACAGACTTTTTGACAAGCTAGACATTATCTTTAGATTATTTACCGAGCTAGACATTATCTACTGATTAATTGTCCAGCTAGACATTATCTACTGATTATTTGTCCAGCTAGACATTATCTACTGATTATTTGTCCAGCTAGAAATGATCTTTAGATCATTTATCCAGCTAGACATTATATATAGATTATTTATCCATCTAGAAATGATCTATAGATTATTTGTCCAGCTAGACATTATCTACTGATTATTTGTCCAGCTAGAAATGATCTTTAGATCATTTATCCAGCTAGACATTATATATAGATTATTTATCCATCTAGACATTATCTATAGATTATTTATCCAGCTAGACATTATATATAGATTATTTATCCATCTAGACATTAGTTATAGATTATTTGTCCAGCTAGACATTATCTACAGATTATTTGTTCAGCTAGACATTGTCTACATATTATTACATATACGTGTTTTACAGAATGGTTGATCAGGTTAATTCAAAAATATATTTACAGTCTTGTAGACTTAGAGGACAGACAAAGAAGGAACCGGCGAGCTGTACAGATTGCTGACCCCTTGAATGAATATCTCAAATTGGATCAGGTAAGTTAGGGTCCCAACCAAGGGGGACATATTAATATATATTCATCACTTTTGTTCTAAACGTTTCAAACTATGAAAAGTTGTCTTCTTTTTATTCAATCTGTATGTATTTTGAACTCTTTCGTGTGGAATGTGAACCTGTAGTATCAGAAGTTTTCATAAAATGACTTATCACCATCATAGTTAAAACTTTTAAGTTTGATGAATCATTGAATCAATTTACAGTTTAACTAATATTAGTTATACCGATCAGACCGGAACAGGAAACCGTTAACATAGTATGTAGACAATGGCTTTATTATAATAATCATGACGTCCTTTTAAACATTACTTAATACTGACCTAATGTACCTTTACTGCATTAGGTCTCCTCCCTACACTGAAGTATAGTTGATTTTCATACCATTTTGTCGGCAAACATTTAAGATATGTATGGTTCATCTTTACAGATCACTGAATACGTAGAAAACAAGGCTTTAGGTCACACAAACATGCACCTGTCTTACCTCCCAAACAAAACATACGAAAATAGGGACATACAGGTGGTAAAGGTAAGTCTTTAATAAACACATACAGGTGTTGAGGTAAGTCTGTAATAAACACATACAGGTGTTGAGGTAAGTCTGTAATAAACACGTACAGGTCTTGAGGTAAGTCTGTAATAAACACACACAGGTGTTGAGGTAAGTCTGTAATAAACACATACAGGTGTTGAGGTAAGTCTGTAATAAACACATACAGGTGTTGAGGTAGGTCTACACTAATCACGTACATGTGGTTAATGTTAGTTCTTTAATAACAGTATATATAATGTGTGTGTGTACGTACACATGTCTGTGTAAGTAGTTAACTTGAGCATTGGCGATTCGCTGATACTTTTCTTAGTTTTAAGTTTTAACACATTTTATGCTTTAGATTGTCAGTCAGAATGGAGAAGCTTCTAAATCTATATTTATTGACTGTGGTATCCATGCCAGGGAGTGGATATCACCGGCCTTCTGTTTGTTTGCTATCGACAAGGTAAGCATTTATTTATTTCTTTTTTTTTTCTTTTTCTTTTTCATTTCATAGACGTATACATATTAGACATACATCAACATATTATACAAGTAATTTCAAACACACATCAAATACATACATATATCCACATGTGTGCTCCTGTCATATATACCTTCCCACCTTCAATTCATATAAGCCTACGTACATAATTAGGCCCACATTCATATACTCAAAAGTATGCCTAAGCACATATACATGTACATACAACAAATACACACAAGATATACACATATATACACATACTTACACACACACACATACATACATACATACTCTACACACACTGCACATATATACATACATGCATTAATCATACATACATGTACATACATCTGCACACACATCCAAGCCTATACACATACTGTACAATGCATCACATGTATGTATAATAATGACACATACATATATATCGAGAGGTGAAGAACATTCATTCGTACCTACACATAAAAAATTAAAGAGGGAAATATAAGAAAAGGCAAAAGCAGCTGGCCAGAAAGAAAGAGAGAAAAAAACACATATATCTATTCTAGGAAGAGAGACCATTTGCCCCATTTCCTTTGAAACTCATCACATTTGTTTTTTTGTTTGTATATAAGATTTTGTATTCTAATTCCCAATTGTATGTGAGTTTTCAAAGTATTCAATTGTAGAACTTTCTTCAAACATCTAGAGTTATAAATATAGATAATGTCTAGCTGGACAAATAATCAGTAGATAATGTCTAGCTTGACAAATAATCTATATATAATGTCTAAAAAAACTCATCTGTGAAACCATCTGATCCTGGACTTTTGTTGTTTTTCAATTTCATTAATGTTTTTGCAAGTTCACTAATGTTCAATGGTTCTTCTAAAGCTTCAGACTCAATATCCGATAGTTTTGGCACATCATATTCATTTAATAATATATTTAAGTCTTCATCGAGTATAATATCATTTTTTTATATAAGTTTTTATAGTAGAGTTCAATTTCTTTAATATTTCAGACTGATCTGTTATAACATTACCATTTGATTTCTCTACTCTTGGTATAATTTTGTTTGTGAAATGTCTTGCCTCAAGTCCACAAAAGGATTTACTAGGCTTTTCCCCTTCTTGTATCCATTATGCTTTTGACTTTATCATACTTCCTTTAAGTTTGTGTTTCCTTATTTCTTCTAATTCTGCTTTTTTTTTTGTATCTAATGTGTTATTGTACTGATTATGATGCTCTAACTGTTGAATTTCAATTAAACAGAAAAATATTTTTCTGAGAAGTGTTTTTTTTATATAAGTAGAGTGGGAGATTGATTTCCCTCTGATTTCCATAAGGAGTGTCTGTAAAAATAACTGGTCGTTAATTATAAATTGTATTTCATTGTCGGGTATATTACTTATGTTTTCCTTATTATAAACTGGTAGTATATATTGTTCTTTAATTCTTAAAGTGGTTTCATTGATAGACTTAACATAATCTGAGTCCAATAATAAAGTGTTGTTGGACTTCCATAAACCTCTCCCTTTTTTAAATCCTTTAACTGTAATGTAATTGTTATACTGGAATGGTCAGATCTATAACTTGGTTCAATTGTTGCAGACATTAAGCTTGGTAAAATATTTTCAGATATAAGAAATAAGTCAATTCTAGGTTGTTTAAGAGGTTGTTTTTTTACGCCGGTATATCTTTTAGCTTCTGGGTGTGATTCTCTAAATGAGTCGATCAAATCAAACTTTTCCATAATTCATAATTCATAATTAAGGTAAGCCAACTTAATATTCCTTCAACCCTTCACCCGGTTTCTCGGCACAGACGATCTCCCTTATATTCTCTCATATCATTTTCCATTGTTTACTTTCGGATTTTGTATCGACATGGTGGGTCATCTGTTATTGACATGTGTTGGAGGCTAGGGGTCCTGGTTACTGACATGTGTTGGAGGTTGGCGGTCCTGGTTATTGACATTTGTTGGAGGCTGGGGGTCCTCTGTTATTGGCATGTGTTGGAGATTGGCGGTCCTGGTTATTGACATGTGTTGGAGACTGGGGGTCCTGGTTATTGACATGTGTTGGGGGCTGGGGGTCCTTGTTATTGACATGTGTTGGAGGGTGGGGGTCATCTGTTATTGACATGTGTTGGAGGGTGGCGGTCCTGGTTATTGACATGTGTTGGAGGGTGGCGGTCCTGGTTATTGACATGTGTTGGAGGGTGGCGGTCCTGGTTATTGACATGTGTTGGAGGCTGGGGGTCCTCTGTTATTGACATGTGTTGGAGGTTGGCGTTCCTGGTTATTGACATGTGTTGAAGGTTGGCGGTCCTCGTTATTGACATGTGTTGGAGGCTGGGGGTCCTCTGTTATTGACATGGGTTGGAGGTTGGCGTTCCTGGTTATTGACATGTGTTGAAGGTTGGCGGTCCCCGTTATTGACATGTGTTGGAGGCTGGGGGGCCTCTGTTATTGACATGTGTTGGAGGTTGGCGGTCCCGGTTATTGACAAGTGTTGGAGGCTGGGGGTCCTCTGTTTTTGACATGTGTTGGAGGTTGGCGTTCCTGGTTATTGACATGTGTTGGAGGTTGGCGGTCCTGGTTATTGACATGTGTTGAAGGTTGGCGGTCCTCGTTATTGACATGTGTTGGAGGCTGGGGGTCCTCGGTTATTGACATGTGTTGGAGGTTGGCGTTCCTGGTTATTGACATGTGTTGAAGGTTGGCGGTCCTCGTTATTGCCATGTGTTGGAGGCTGGGGGTCCTCTGTTATTGACTAGTGTTGGAGGCTAGGGGTCCTGGTTATTGACATGTGTTGGATGCTGGGGGCCCTCTGTTATTTACATGTGGTGGAGGCTGGGGGTCCTGCTTATTGACATTTGTTAAAGGCTGGGGGTCCTGGTTATTGACATGTGTTGAAGGCTGGGGGGCCTGGTTATTGACATGTGTTGGAGGCTGGGGGTCCTCTGTTATTGACATGTGTTGGAGGTTGGCGGTCCTGGTTATTGACATGTGTTGGAGGCTGGGGGTCCTGGTTATTGACATGTGTAGGAGGCTGGGGGTCCTCTGTTATTGACTAGTGTTGGAGGCTGGGGGTCCTGGTTATTGTCATGTGTTGGAGGCTGGGGGTCCTGCTTATTGACATGTGTTAAAGGCTGGGGGTCCTGGTTATTGACATGTGTTGGAGGCTGGGGGTCCTGGTTATTGACATGTGTTGGAGGCTGGGGGTCCTGGTTATTGACATGTGTTGGAGACTGGGGGTCCTAATTATTGACATGTGTTGGAAGCTGGGGGTCCTGGTTATTGACATGTGTAGGAGGCTGGGGGTCCTCTGTTATTGACTAGTGTTGGAGGCTGGGGGTCCTGGTTATTGACATGTGTTGGATGCTGGGGGTCCTCTGTTATTTACATGTGGTGGAGGCTGGGGGTCCTGCTTATTGACATTTGTTGGAGGCTGGGGGTCCTGGTTATTGACATTTGTTGGAGGCAGGCGGTCCTGGTTATTGACATTTGTTGGAGGCTGGGGATCCTGGTTATTGACATGTGTTGGAGGTTGGCGGTCCTGGTTATTTTCTTTTAACTACTGCTTATTTCACTTTGCAGAGTCACCATATTACAATATCTGTGTCGTTTGTCAAAAACATCCCTCCATATTAACAGATGGTTTGTTTTGCTACAGTTACTCTCGGGAGAAAGTTCAGACCTTCTCGACAAGTACAATTGGCATATTGTTCCTGTACTGAACCCGGACGGCTACCATCATACCCACACTACAGTAAGTATACGTGCATATTGTTCCCGTACTAAACCCGGATGGCTACCATCATACCCACACTACAGTAAGTATACTGGCATCTGGTTATTGACATTTGTTGGAGGCTGGGGATCCTGGTTATTGACATGTGTTGGAGGTTGGCGGTCCTGGTTATTTTCTTTTAACTACTGCTTATTTCACTTTGCAGAGTCACCATATTACAATATCTGTGTCGTTTGTCAAAAACATCCCTCCATATTAACAGATGGTTTGTTTTGCTACAGTTACTCTCGGGAGAAAGTTCAGACCTTCTCGACAAGTACAATTGGCATATTGTTCCTGGACTGAACCCGGACGGCTACCATCATACCCGCTCTACAGTAAGTATACTGGCATATTGTTGGATGCTGGGGGTCCTCTGTTATTTACATGTGGTGGAGGCTGGGGGTCCTGCTTATTGACATTTGTTGGAGGCTGGGGGTCCTGGTTATTGACATTTGTTGGAGGCTGGGGATCCTGGTTATTGACATGTGTTGGAGGTTGGCGGTCCTGGTTATTTTCTTTTAACTACTGCTTATTTCACTTTGCAGAGTCACCATATTACAATATCTGTGTCGTTTGTCAAAAACATCCCTCCATATTAACAGATGGTTTGTTTTGCTACAGTTACTCTCGGGAGAAAGTTCAGACCTTCTCGACAAGTACAATTGGCATATTGTTCCTGGACTGAACCCGGACGGCTACCATCATACCCACGCTAAAGGAAGTATACTGGCATATTGTTCCCGTACTCAACCCGGACGGCTACCATCATACCCACTCTACAGTAAGTATACTGGCATATTGTTGGATGCTGGGGGTCCTCTGTTATTTACATGTGGTGGAGGCTGGGGGTCCTGCTTATTGACATTTGTTGGAGGCTGGGGGTCCTGGTTATTGACATTTGTTGGAGGCTGGGGATCCTGGTTATTGACATGTGTTGGAGGTTGGCGGTCCTGGTTATTTTCTTTTAACTACTGCTTATTTCACTTTGCAGAGTCACCATATTACAATATCTGTGTCGTTTGTCAAAAACATCCCTCCATATTAACAGATGGTTTGTTTTGCTACAGTTACTCTCGGGAGAAAGTTCAGACCTTCTCGACAAGTACAATTGGCATATTGTTCCTGTACTGAACCAGGACGGCTCCCATCATACCCACACTACAGTAAGTATACGTGCATATTGTTCCCGTACTAAACCCGGACCGCTACAATCATACCAACACTACAGTAAGTATACTGGCATATTGTTCCCGTCCTAAACCCGGACGGCTTCCATCATCCCCACACTACAGTAAGTATACTGGCATATTGTACCCGTACTAAACCCGGACGGCTTCCATCATACCCACACTACAGTAAGTATACGTGCATATTGTTCCCGTACTAAACCCGGATGGCTACCATCATACCCACACTACAGTAAGTATACTGGCATATTGTTCCTGTACTAAACCCGGACGGCTACCATGAGAATTTCTGCAGCCCAGTTAAAGGCCAAGGTCATAAGCAAGCTAGAGGTCAAGGTCAAACTCCAGAATCCTTCAGTTATGATTGTAAAATTGAATGCTTAGCATGCCCGCTGGTACTGACTGCAAATTTCAGTTTAATTTCATGAAATTCCGAACAAGTATTTCTGATGTCAATCTTAAGTAACCAGTCCAGTCCAAGGTCAAGTTTGATAAATTGATATTCTATACACAGCTTCAAACCCTTTTATGATGATTAGAGTTATTGTTTGGCTTGCCCACATGTTCGTGCATGACTCTATTTTTCAAACTTTACACTTGTTTTCCTGACACCAATCTCTCAAAACCGGTTAAAGGGTCAATGTCATTTGTTAAATGTCAAGAAAACGGTGACATCTTCTTTGATGAACATTGAAAAAAGTTTTATCCGCACATTTCTGACTGAAGTTTTCAACCACATTTTTATTAAACTTCACACGAGTATAACCGACATCTATTTCTCTCAGCCTATTTAGGGTAAAAGTCATTGACATTGTCGAGTTATTAGATGCTTTTTTCTTAATTCTTTGGGGTTTTTTATTTGCTTTTTCTACTGAATGCGCTTACTTGCCTTTTAGGATCGATTATGGAGAAAGAACCGAGCACTTAACCGCAACACCAATAACTGCCGTGGGGTAGATCTGAATCGTAACTTCGGCTACGGATATAATCCAGGTAAGAACCGGCACCACCACCAGTACAATATGTACCACCACCACCACCACCACCACCACCAGTACACCAGTACCACCGCCAGTACAATATGTACCACCAACCAGTACACCAGTACCACCGCCAGTACAATATGTACTACCCACCAGTACACCAGTACCACCACCACCACCAGTACACCAGTACCACCACCAGTACAATATGTACCACCCACCAGTACACCAAGACCACCACCAGTACAATATGTACCACCACCAGTACACCAGTACCACCCCCAGTACACTAGTACCACCACCAGTACACCAGTACCACCGCCAGTACAATATATATTACCCACCAGTACACTAGTACCACCACCAGTACAATATGTACAACCCACCAGTACACCAAGACCACCACCAGTACGATATGTACCACCACCAGTACACCAGTACCGCCAGTACACCAGTACCACTACCAGTACCATATGAACTACCCACCAGTACCACCACCAGTACAATATGTCCCCCCCACCAGTACCCCAGTACCCCCCCCAGTACAATATGTACTACCCGCCAGTACAATATGTACTACCCACCAGTACACCAGTACCACCCCCACCACCAGTACACCAGTACCACCACCAGTAAAATATGTACCCCCCGCCAGTACACCAGTACCACCCCCAGTACAATATGTATTACCCACCAGTACACCAGTACCACCACCAGAACACCACTACCACCGCCAGTACAATATGTACCACCCACCAGTACCCCAAGACCACCACCAGTACAATATGTACCCCCACCAGTACACCAGTCCCACCACCAGTACAATATGTATCACCCACCAGTACACCAGTACCACCACCAGTACCATATGTACTACCCACCAGTACCACCACTAGTACAATATGTACTACCCGCCAGTACACCAGTACCACCACCAGTCCAATATGTACTACCCACCAGTACACCAGTACCACCACCAGTACACCAGTACCACCAGTACACCAGTACCACTACCAGTACCATATGTACTACCCACCAGTACCACCACCAGTACAATATGTACTACCCACCAGTACACCAATACCACCACCAGTACACCAGTACCACCACCATTACACTAGTACCACCACCAGTACAATATGTTCTACCCACCAGTACAATATGTACCACCCACCAGTACAGGAGTACCACCACCAGTACACCAGTACCACCCGAACACCAGTACCACTACCAGTACCATATGTACTACCCACCAGTACACCAGTACCACCACCAGTACACCAGTACCACCACCATTACACTAGTACCACCACCAGTACAATATGTATTACCCACCAGTACACCAGTACCACCACCAGTACACCAGTACCACCACCAGTACACTAGTACCACCACCAGTACAATATGTACTACCCACCAGTACAATATGTACCACCCACCAGTACACCAGTGCCACCACCACTACAATATGTACTACCCACCACTACACCAGTACCACCACCAGTACCATATGTACTACCCGCCAGCACACTAGTACCACCACCAGTACCATATGTACTACCCACCAGTACCATATGTACTACCCACCAGTACCATATGTACTACCCACCAGTACATCAGTACCACCACCAGTACACCAGTACCACCACCAGTACCATATGTACTACCCACCAGTACCATATGTACTACCCACCAGTACACCAGTGCCACCACCAGTACAATATGTACTACCCACCAGTACACCAGTACCACCACCAGTACCATATGTACCACCACCAGTACACCAGTACAACCACCAGTACCATATGTACTACCCACCAGTACCATATGTACTACCCACCAGTACCATATGTACTACCCACCAGTACCATATGTACTACCCACCAGTACACCAGTGCCACCACCAGTACAATATGTACTACCCACCAGTACACCAGTACCACCACCAGTACCATATGTACCACCACCAGTACACCAGTACAACCACCAGTACCATATGTACTACCCACCAGTACCATATGTACTACCCACCAGTACCATATGTACTACCCACCAGTACCATATGTACTACCCACCAGTACCATATGTACTACCCACCAGTACCATATGTACTACCCACCAGTACCATATGTACTACCCACCAGTACCATATGTACTACCCACCAGTACCATATGTACTACCCACCAGTACCATATGTACTACCCACCAGTACCATATGTACTACCCACCAGTACCATATGTACTACCCACCAGTACCATATGTACTACCCACCAGTACCATATGTACTACCCACCAGTACCATATGTACTACCCACCAGTACCATATGTACTACCCACCAGTACCATATGTACTACCCACCAGTACCATATGTACTACCCACCAGTACCATATGTACTACCCACCAGTACCATATGTACTACCCACCAGTACCATATGTACTACCCACCAGTACCATATGTACTACCCACCAGTACCATATGTACTACCCACCAGTACCATATGTACTACCCACCAGTACCATATGTACTACCCACCAGTACCATATGTACTACCCACCAGTACCATATGTACTACCCACCAGTACCATATGTACTACCCACCAGTACCATATGTACTACCCACCAGTACCATATGTACTACCCACCAGTACCATATGTACTACCCACCAGTACCATATGTACTACCCACCAGTACCATATGTACTACCCACCAGTACCATATGTACTACCCACCAGTACCATATGTACTACCCACCAGTACCATATGTACTACCCACCAGTACCATATGTACTACCCACCAGTACCATATGTACTACCCACCAGTACACCAGTGCCACCACCAGTACAATATGTACTACCCACCAGTACACCAGTACCACCACCAGTACCATATGTACCACCACCAGTACACCAGTACCACCATCAGTACCATATGTACTACCCACCAGTACCATATGTACTACCCACCAGTACCATATGTACTACCCACCAGTACCATATGTACTACCCACCAGTACCATATGTACTACCCACCAGTACACCAGTGCCACCACCAGTACAATATGTACTACCCACCAGTACACCAGTACCACCACCAGTACCATATGTACCACCACCAGTACACCAGTACCACCATCAGTACCATATGTACTACCCACCAGTACCATATGTACTACCCACCAGTACCATATGTACTACCCACCAGTACCATATGTACTACCCACCAGTACCATATGTACTACCCACCAGTACCATATGTACTACCCACCAGTACCATATGTACTACCCACCAGTACCATATGTACTACCCACCAGTACCATATGTACTACCCACCAGTACCATATGTACTACCCACCAGTACCATATGTACTACCCACCAGTACACCAGTGCCACCACCAGTACAATATGTACTACCCACCAGTACACCAGTACCACCACCAGTACCATATGTACCACCACCAGTACACCAGTACCACCATCAGTACCATATGTACTACCCACCAGTACCATATGTACTACCCACCAGTACCATATGTACTACCCACCAGTACCATATGTACTACCCACCAGTACCATATGTACTACCCACCAGTACCATATGTACTACCCACCAGTACCATATGTACTACCCACCAGTACACCAGTGCCACCACCAGTACAATATGTACTACCCACCAGTACACCAGTACCACCACCAGTACCATATGTACCACCACCAGTACACCAGTACCACCATCAGTACCATATGTACTACCCACCAGTACCATATGTACTACCCACCAGTACCATATGTACTACCCACCAGTACCATATGTACTACCCACCAGTACACCAGTGCCACCACCAGTACAATATGTACTACCCACCAGTACACCAGTACCACCACCAGTACCATATGTACAACCACCAGTACACCAGTACCACCACCAGTACCATATGTCTAACCACCAGTACCATATGTACTACCCACCAGTACCATATGTACCAACCACCAGTACCATATGTACTACCCACCAGTACCATATGTACTACCCACCAGTACACCAGTGCCACCACCAGTACAATATGTACTACCCACCAGTACACCAGTACCACCACCAGTACCATATGTACCACCACCAGTACACCAGTACAACCACCAGTACCATATGTACTACCCACCAGTACCATATGTACTACCCACCAGTACACCAGTGCCACCACCAGTACAATATGTACTACCCACCAGTACACCAGTACCACCACCAGTACCATATGTACCACCACCAGTACACCAGTACAACCACCAGTACCATATGTACTACCCACCAGTACCATATGTACTACCCACCAGTACACCAGTGCCACCACCAGTACAATATGTACTACCCACCAGTACACCAGTACCACCACCAGTACCATATGTACCACCACCAGTACACCAGTACAACCACCAGTACCATATGTACTACCCACCAGTACCATATGTACTACCCACCAGTACACCAGTGCCACCACCAGTACAATATGTACTACCCACCAGTACACCAGTACCACCACCAGTACCATATGTACCACCACCAGTACACCAGTACAACCACCAGTACCATATGTACTACCCACCAGTACCATATGTACTACCCACCAGTACACCAGTGCCACCACCAGTACAATATGTACTACCCACCAGTACACCAGTACCACCACCAGTACCATATGTACCACCACCAGTACACCAGTACCACCACCAGTACCATATGTACTACCCACCAGTACCATATGTACTACCCACCAGTACACCAGTGCCACCACCAGTACAATATGTACTACCCACCAGTACACCAGTACCACCACCAGTACCATATGTACCACCACCAGTACACCAGTACCACCACCAGTACACCAGTGCCACCACCAGTACCATATGTACTATCCACCAGTACCATATGTACTACCCACCAGTACACCAGTGCCACCACCAGTACAATATGTACTACCCCCCAGTACACCAGTACCACCACCAGTACCATTTGTACCACCACCAGTACACCAGTACCACCAACAGTACCCCAGTGCCACCACCAGTACCATATGTACTGCCCACCAGTACACCAGTACCACCACCAGTCCCATATGTACCACCACCAGTACACCAGTACCCCCATCAGTACCATATGTACTACCCACCAGTACCATATGTACCCCCCACCAGTACAATATGTACCACCACCACCACCACCAGTACACCAGTACCACCACCAGTACAATAGGTACTACCCACCACTACACCAGTACAATATGTACCACCCGCCAGTACAATATGTACTACCCCCCACTACACCAGTACAATATGTACCACCCGCCAGTACAATATGTAGTACCCACCACTACACCAGTACAATATGTACTACACACCAGTACAATATGTACCACCCACCAGTACAATATGTACCACCCCCACCACCACCACCAGTACACCAGTACCACCACCAGTACCATTTGTACCACCACCAGTACACCAGTACCACCAACAGTCCACCAGTGCCACCACCAGTACCATATGTACTACCCACCAGTACACCAGTCCCACCACCAGTACCTTATGTACTACCCACCAGTACTCCAGTACCACCACCAGTACCATATGTACTACCACCAGTACACCAGTACCACCACCAGTATCATATGTACTACCCACCAGTACCATATGTACTATCCACCAGTACCATATTTACTACCCACCAGTACACCAGTGCCACCACCAGTACAATATGTACTACCCACCAGTACAATATGTACCACCCACCAGTACAATATGTACTACCCACTAGTACAATATGTACTACCCACCAGTACAATATGTTTTACCCACCAGGACGCTGTAACAGTCTCAGTAATGTCTTTGTTACATCTTTAACGTATTACTTTCTACATTACCAACAGACGCAACGCTCCTGGTGTGTCAGTCTATGTATATAATGTATACTAACTGTGATGACTTACATACGACATGTTAACACTGTGCTGAGACGACATTTCTAACACTCATTGTAGCTATAGGTGGCAGCACAAGTATCTGCTCCGACATTTACACCGGTACTAAGGCGTTTAGCGAGCAAGAGTCGGACGGTCTTCAGCGCTACATTTTAGACAACCAGGACCAAAACTTTGTCTCTTATTTGACCGTTCACTCCTATGGGCAGATGTGGCTTCATCCCTGGGGGTACACTAGCGTGCTTCCCGACGACGTCGAGGACCTGGTAAGTTTCCACACCAAAACCCCTACACCTAATTACCGACATTCCTACCCACACACTCAAACGGCCGCCAATCAACATTCACCAAAAATCTGACAACGAAACTCATGCACCCACACGAGATCTCAGGTACGTACAATATCGCTAACTGGATATGGTATCCCAATGGCTGTATGGAAATTAGCGACACGAAATACAATCACCTTCAGAAATCAAACGTCTCCTGGTTGTGTTGCTACTGTGACAGATGAATGTAGACACTTTTACATATCATTCCTATGAAACATCAAAACAAGTGCAGTGTCTTGTCAAAAGACTATCCTCTGATCTATTGACTCATCATTCTCGCAAAGAGTACGTAGTACGTAGTCTTAAAACTGCACATAGAACATATAGTCATCACTTCTGATATGAAGTCGATAACAGAGTGCTGTTCCGGAACACACTCAGTGTGTCCACAAGACCCTCGGACACTATAGCAGCACCAACATCCTTAGGAGATATCATCCCCTCCAAATAAAACAACTGGAGAACACTTGTAGTAAACAGTCATATCATTAGGAATAAATTTGCTGAAGTAAAAACTGCAATTGACTATGTGAAACCTGGTGCTTTCCTGGTTGTGAATCCTAGACGGACGAAACCATCAAAGTCGACAGTGAACGTTATTTTGAAATGACTTACCGTAAAGAGCGTAACCTACACGGAGGCGGGATATTCACCGCGTTAAAGATCACGACACCTCGTCAATTATGTCCAAAGCTGACAGCACCTAGTTCGCTAGAACCCGAGAAACATAACACTGGGAGGTGACTGTAATATATCCTATATCAATTGGGATTACGTAAACTTTTTCACAAAGATAAAAAGTAAACAATGTAGTATAATGTCTGACGTCACACGTCAGTAACGTATCTACACAATGTAGTATAATGTCTGACGTCACACGTCAGTAACGTATCTACACAATGTAGTATAATGTCCGACGTCACACGTCAGTAATGTATCTACACAATGTAGTATAATGTC